TAATAAAACCAAAAAGAACCAAAACTGCCAAGACACCATTCTAACTTTCCATTAAATAATGGAACCTTATCTCATAAATCAAATCTGTTTCATCAACAGTTTGTGGTTCGTTGCATAACCCGAGATTAATTGCTTATGTCATCCCGGTTATTATGTAATATTGGTTTATTCTTAATTTAATCTTGAACTGTTTTGCACACTTAAAAATTATGATTATAGGAAATTATAAGTAAAATTGGGAAATGTTTCAAAATGCAGCCAATCTTATAGTATCTGTCATGTTAAATTGTAATGATATGACTAATAAGCTTATAAGCTAAAATAAAGACTATATATGTCTAGGCTATATTTGACTATAAAGAACTTGTATATTTAGACCCTTTAGAGTGAAATTTCATAACAATAAAAATGTATCAACCAATAATCCCACCGCAGCTTTGAAAATGACTAGGCTAAATTTTAATTTAAATGTTTTCCTAAGCAAGTCATATTTATTCCCCATATAAATAACATTAGATTCAACGAGTACTTATGTTCACTGCTACAAGGAAGGGAAGAAGTGTTTTTTAGATATATAATTCTTAGAGTTTAGGAGGTAATAAATAAATTTGCCAAATTTAATCATTATAATATATATTCATGAAAAGAGCAATTTACTACGATTTTTCAAAACTACGTATTATATATATAGATATTTAAATGGGACTCTTTTGGTGGGAAGGTCTTTTTCCAAGCGAACTAATACAGTTTTTTTTTATATGAAAAATTTATAAATTTTAAGCGTACAGTTTTCTCTCCGTAACCTTATGTCGTACAACAATGCTTCAATATGGGTTACAATTTTGTTTTTTTTTTTTTTTTTGTAAGCTCACTAAGCACAATGGTCTTAAAGCCGTAAGGTTTTGTATTATTTTTTAAAAAATTATTATTTCTTTTACAGTGTAAATAGACACCAAATATATCAGACTTACACACAAACTCGTCAATGAATGGCAATATACATATTTATTTTATAATAATAGAATAGAATTGTAAGGGAAATCACATAAAACAATAAATCTGCTGAAAGTGGAGACTGCAGAAGAGCCCATATTAAATAAATACCAGCATCTCGTTATCTCTCTGTGCAGGATGCGCCGGCGCTAGCCCGCAACAAGGCTCGATCTTCATAAACTTAATTAAGTGTCCCACCTCCATGCGACTTTAACTAATTAATTATTTTCCTCCACCTTTGTAGAAGCTTGTACTGCCTTGAAATATACCATTGGGTCATTATTCGAATGCAATAAAATACGTCTCATTCGTCTTTATCCATGTAGCTATCTATACAGTAAACAGTTATAGAACGGTGAATATATAGTGTATATGTATATATATATATATACATATATATATATATATTGAGCATATGAATGAATGAATATCAAGTTACAGTGGTTACCGATTTCAACCCTTCATACTAGTCAGTGCCAGGCCCAATAAAAACTCTAAATTATACCTCATTGTACCAATTTGTATTTATGTTTACTATGTTATGTAAACCTATACTATTTAAGAGATACTTTTTGTCTGTTTTGATTAAAAAGTTGTAAGCAAACTGTTTCAATACATTCAGCATTGCTAAAAATATATGTAAAATGTGTCTACTTGTAACCTGAAACGGTCTAATATTTTCAAACGTGAAATCACATTTTTCTGAAATCACATTTTTCATTAACATTGAAGAACATTTTAATCATCTTTGTCTCATTTAACTGCTTTTTTAATTTGGGCCTTAGAGGTTTTTCTTTATGAGGTTTATGTTTATAACTACGAATTTATGTTTACAGCTGTGTGAGCTGTCTGTATAACAAAAGGGACTAAAATATATACAAGATGGTATTGACAGAGTGTTAACATTTTTTGGGGGTGGTACACCATCCGAAATGTGACTCAAATACAGAATTTAAAAAATTCTAAATCACACAACCACTAAAAGAAAAATTATTTTGATTATTAAAAACCCCGTTCATTTAGCAAGAAACTCCAATTCAAGAGTATTTAAAAAAAATCATTAAAAATATGTTTTTTACTTCAACATTACCATTGCAGTCTAGATACGTTAAATTTTGAGGAAGAATGGATAGGTTTATATGAACCTGAAGTATCAGAAACATTATTTAAATTAATTAGAACTGAAAAATTATTAATAAAAAAAAAGGGGGAAAACAAGTTTACATACAATATTTTTAAATGCTGGAAAGTAGGGAATGCTATAATAACTGCTCCAGTCTGTAAGCTTTCAAAAGATATAATCCATTTTTTTTATTTGTTGTCTTTTATTTACAGATTTTATGAATTTGAAGAATGTAAAACACGGTTAAAAAAAATTATAAACTAAAAATTACACATTTTCATTCTAATTAAAGGTGTAGCATAAAACTGCAAATGATTATTTTTCACGCATAAAAAATGTAATAAAAGGGAAAATCATAAGTGTTGTGATTCAACATGGATCTTTTACATCTCTCACACAATTCACAGCTGGTTTATCTCAGTTAGTGTTCAAAATGTCCTCCATTCTGTGTTGTGCTCTTTCCCTCATTGCCCCAACAGTCACTTTTTGGCTTAGATTTTCCCTAACTGTCTGTGCTGCGATTTGGATTTTATTAAACAGTTCCTCTTAATTATTTATTGGAGTTGTATAGACTTCAGCCTTTATAAATCCCCACACAAAGAAATCCATGGGATCAGATCAGGAGATCCTGCATGCCAGGGTACAAGGCCTCTACGTTATATCCATGTGGGGTAGTTGGTACTCAGCCAATTTCAGACGTCATTAGTACATACAACTAATATATGTTAACTATATGTTAATGTTAATGTGTGAGAAGGTGCTCCATCCTGCTGGTAAATTATATCTCAGATTCAATAACGTCCAAAATTTGAGGCAAATCGTGCTGTAAAACGTCAAGATACTTCTCTCCATGTAAACTTCTTTGAAAAATGTGAGGGTCCAAGAAACGATTGCCAATCACACCTACACAAACGTTTATGCAAAATCTCTTTTTAAAATACATTTCTTTCGGTGCTTGTGGGTTTTCAGTACTCCACATGTGCATGTTGTGGAAGTTAAATACACGTCGTCTTGTAAAAAGAGTTTCGTGTGGCCATAAGATTTTTTTTTATTATATTGTTCAATATCAGAATTTAGGAGGTACCGACAAAAATCTACTCTAGCAGCATGATCATCAGTCTCGTGTGCAAAAGAGACCCTACTTTAGTTTTTTTTTTTTTTTTTTTTTTAGAGGTTGGCGGCCTCTTTTAACCTTGCATTTGCCCGTCCACATAGACTAACCGCCCGTGTGTGGATCGTTAACAGCAAAGCAAGGAGTGAGCCGGTACAGTACAAAGGTGAACTGTACTGATAAAATGTTTTCGGCAGTGACCAGGATTCGAACCCACGACATCGCTGCCTTGGGCCCGACGTCCGCGACCACAGACAATATAATACTTAAATTTATTTTTTATTCCATTGTCTGTGCCGCGACGCTACCGACTGAGCCACCGACTCACTCAACCCCCGGGGGTTTTACTCACACCCGTTTCCCCAGCAAGTTTTCTACTACTACTCTCCTGATCCTCTAAAACTCGGTCAAGAATTTGTTCTTCCTCATACAAATCCAAAGCTACAGCACCCACTTCACTTCACCCCTTATGCACAGATCCACATTCTACCAAACGCTGATACGTCTGTTTAAACACTTGCGTGCTGTGAACACGCCGTCCAGGGTAGCGAGCGCTATACTCCCTTTGAGCCGCACTTGCATTTCCATTATAGTAATCATACTCCAAGATAATTTATGCATATTCCTAATTTGAAAAGGACATCTTAAGATCATTGACAATGAGTAAATGACCAAAACCCACTAAAAATAATAATCTTTAAGTGATAGCTTACCTGAACATGTTATTTCAACAACTACTTTGAAATAAAAATAAATTTATTTGGTTTTCTTATTTTACTTATTACATTTATTATAACTAGTTCTTATAAGACTAGTTGTTGCTCGTTGGCATAGCCCGGCATACTTATGGACTTTTTACTACTATGAACCTGCTGAAGCTGGGGCATCGCTACGGGCTTAAATGACCTTTTGCATTAATTTTCTGTATAATAACAGTTATTAACGATTAGATTCATTTCTATATAATCCAAATTACCTAAGCTAGGTAAAAAATTAGACTACTGAAGTCAAACTAAGGAAGAACTTATTGACTTTAAAAATTAACCGCCTTCTACCAGGAGCTTTGAACTACTTTCTCTGGGACAACCTACTTAAAGTTTTACCAAAAATAATAGTTCAATAATAAGTCTTTTAAATTATCACTATACTCTTCAAAATTTCCTAGTGGTAAAGTTGGTTTTCTCATAACTTTATTGAAAAGTATTAGATAGTATACCTCTGGTCAGCGGTTAAAATCTTATCTTGGTCAAAATCTACTGGCAATTGGCTGAGTACGCAGGTTTGCTATTAACACAGTTTTACAACTATTTTACAATGGTTTGATTTTGGGAAAGTTACATTTTTTAAAGAGGTTGGCCTCCTCTTTTAACTTTGCATTTTTCCATCCACATAGACTAACTGCCCGTGCGTGGAACGTACCGGTATCCAGCAAAGCAAGGGGTGAGCCGGTACAGTACGAAGGTGAATTTTCCTGATAAAATGTTTGCGGCAGTGACCAGGATCCGAACCCATGACATCGCTGCCTCGGGCCCGGAGTCCGTGACGCTACCGACTGAGCCACCTACTCACCTGTGACGTAATTAATTGTCTTTTCATTTTGACCCATAGAACCTGAAGTTTGTCCTAGTTGAAATTTAACACAACATACAAAACACCCTGTATATATGCTTAGTGTCCGGAAAACCTTTAACTAAAGAAAAATTAAGTTGTTCTAGAAACTACACCTATACGCTCTACACCTAAAAAAACGAAAAGGTTAAAATCATCAAAATGTTCGCTGTTATCGGTAATTATAATAATTAACAGATTTTACATTTACATAACATTATTGAATTGGAGATTTTACAACGACGCTACTCATTGGGTGGCTTGAAGCACTATGAAGCTTGTAGTATTAAGTATCATATTGTTTGTTGGTTATAATATGGCCTTTTACTTGCTTGGCTATCAGGTCAGATATATTTGCTGGATATACCTCTTGATTTTCCCTTTTTCCCAATGCAACGGCCCTCTCAAAATATTGAATCTCCTCTTCTGTTGTTACAGCATCAAGCCCTTTCCCAAGTCGAATTTTCTCTGGACGGTAAAAGCATAATTTTTATCTTTAATACTTTTTACTAGAGTATTCTTTACCTGATTTTAAATAATATTTTAAATAATGTAGTTTTTTTTATGAACAGACTCAATTGAATAGACAGTAATTAAATATCATCCATCATGAGAAAGTTAATTACATTCAACTTCTTCTTTCTTGACGACAAAAGAGCCAGGAATAAAAAGAAAATAGTTCTTCGTCTTTAAGATGTTTTAAATAACTGTAAACCTTTACTGAAATAATAATATTTAATGTTCGTACAGTTTATTTCTTTAGAATTATTTATTTATGGTTCATTTTTATAAGTTAACTTAAATAGGGTTAAAAATCTTACTTCTATATTTTCTTTTTTATAATGTACACCATTTGGGATACTGTAGTTAGATGAATGTGAGTAAAAGTTTAGAGTTGACCAAGTAATTGCTCAGAATTACCGTGTTACTAACTATACGTTCATTAACATAATGCCTACCGGTAAATGAAAACACAATTCTTACCCAGTGTTTTGCCTGCGAGGAAATGCCATTCAGGTTCATTTACGTTGTTCATAATTGCTTCCTTGGCCAATCGTAGGGCCTCAGACCAGGCTTTGGGCCCGTACTCAAGAAATGCTCTACTTTTAATTCCTAGGGTTGCAGCCTTCTCCGCTGAATTGAAGACTGTAACTGGATCAAAATTCTCTTCCACGACCTAGCAAACATTTAGACAAATTAAGAGAGCATATTTTCATTAGCAATCCAATAACTGATTATGTAAACATGTAACACATTTTGGACACTGTGAAAAACTATTCTAACATTAAAACTATAAAACATACAGACACCAAACATATTTACATATCAAACAGGAAAAACAGTTTGGTGTATATATCATCACAGACACAAGTCGAGACCACGACGGGACCAACATGTAACAACTCTGAAAAACAATTTCTTGGACTGCTAATGGAGGTAAGATCGCTTTATTATATTAATGATTGTAGTTCAAGGAACTGCTTTAAATGTTCAAGTTAGAGAATCAACACAAAAACGGGTAAAACAAATAAATAAAAATTTCGATTTAATAAACTATTATTTGTTATCCACAAAATTCGGTCTGCGTGACTTTATTTGAGTTTCTTGAGATCTGAAAGAACATTAAATACCTAATTTTATATTTTATAAAACCGATAAATGAGAACAGAAAATTATACTTATGAAGTGAAACACTTAAGGTTGTATTGGGCATAACATAGTATAGATTGTTCCCGAACTCTCTACCGACCTTTTAAGATATCATTCCTAGGCCAAAGACAAATTAAAATAGGATTCTAGCGGATAGACTCACTAAAACAAATCATTCAAGTAAAAGGTTATTTAATTTACAGATAATTGGTTTAGTGTAATCCACTAGATTGAAATCAGAAAAACTGTTGTTACCTAGGTTGCTAGGATAACTAAAATAATAAGCAAATGATTAAAATACATACAGAACATATCGTTATTGTCTTTGACAGTTTAATGACACCACATAGCTCCCTGCGGAGTCTGGAGGACCGGGCACTTTTCACGGTACGACCAGATCGGGTCACGTAAGGCTTGGGTTGGCTTGAGAATAGGGTCTTGAGTGGGAATACTGTGGAGAGTGGATTTTTGGAAATTTCATTGTGGATGGGTTTATGTGTTGAAGGAGTAAGATCTTGCAATAGATACGCGGGCTACACTCTGTCCAACGTCACCTTTACGCATTTGCCACGATGGATTATAGTCATAGCTTTATCATCACGAGATACCACGGGAAACGGTCCAGTATAAGGTGGTTGTAGTGATCGTCTAACAGAGTCATCTCGCAAAAATATGTGAGTGCAGCGTTTTAACTCCTGAAAAACGAAGGTCTTTGGTTTATCATGCCAAGATGTGGGCACAGGTCTTAAATTTGACATGTGTCGACGTAAGCGAACTACATAGTCAGCTGGGTCCTCCTCATGTCTTGTGTCTTGAGGTAGGTCTAGGAGTTCTCCAGGTAGACGGAGTTGGTGGCCAAAAACTAATTCGGCAGTAGATGCCTGAAGGTCTTCACGATATGCGCTGCGAATGCCGAGTAGTACAATGGGAAGTGCTTCAAGCCATGTTGAATCATTGTGGCACATGAGAGCTGCCTTAAACTGCCCATGGAATCTCTCGACTAAACCATTAACACAAGGGTGATAGCTGCAAGTTCTGATTCGCTCTGCACCGAAGGTCTTTCCAAGGGAACGAAATAATGCTGACTCAAATTGTTGTCCTTGATCAGTTGTGATGCGCAAAGGTGAGCCATAACGGGAAAACCAGCTCATCACCAGATCCTCAGCTACTTCTTCTGCGGTGATGGTTTTCAATGGATGAACTTCTGGCCATCTGGTGTAGCGGTCGATAGCTGTTAGGCAATATTTGTATGGTCCGGATGGTTGAAGTGGTCCTATGATGTCAATGTGAACATGATCAAATCTTGATGATGGGATTGAAAATGATCCATGGGGTGTAAATACATGACGGGAGATCTTAGCACGTTGACATTGCTCACAGGCTCGGGACCAGTTTCGACAGTCTTGTTGAATTCGGGGCCAAACAAAGCGATTAGAAACAAGTTTTGCCGAAGCTTTTATGCCAGGGTGACTTAGATTGTGTATAGAATTAAAAACTGAGCGTCTAAGGGGCTCAGGGACAAAGGGTCGTTGTACTGAAGTTGTTGTGTCACAGTATACATCAAGATCTGTTCCAGGAATTTTGACAAGCTTAAAATTAAGAGATGTCTATCCCTTAAGGATCTCTTGTAGCTAAGGGTCAGAGTCTTGATGATGTGCAAAAGTTTTGGCATCTACAATGCTGGGGGCTGTAGTTGATAATGAATCTACACGAGAAAATGCGTCAGCTACTAGGTTGGCCGATCCAGAAACATGTCTTATGTCTGTAGTAAATTGTGAAATTAATGTTAGTTGGTTTTGCTGAACAGGAGGTAGTTTTTCACGTTTTTGACTGAAGACAAATGTTATTGGCTTGTGGTCTGTGAAAACTATGCAATGATTTGCCTCAAGGTAGTGACGAAAGTGGCGAATGGCGGCATATACATCGAAAAGCTCGCGGTAATAGGCTGGCCAAAGAGATTGTTTTGGTGTCAGTTTCTGTGAAAAGTAGGAGAGATGTTCCCATGTATTATTGTCAACCATCTGCTGGAGTGCCAGCTCCTACATGCGTACTCGAGGCATCACAGAACAATGCGAGAGGGGCCTTGTGGTCAGGGTGAACAAGCAAGGTAGCATTGGAGAGATGTTCTATGCAGGATAAGAATGCACCATCCAATTCAGGAGTCCAATTTACAGGGTGGTTTCCACGTAGAGATGAGAGGGCCTCATGAAGAGCTGCTTGTTGCTTGGCTGCTGAAGGAATGAATCTGCGGTAGAAATTCATCATGCCGAGAAAACGACGCAAACCTTTTGCAGTGGAGGGGCGAGTGAATTGTTGCAGAGCCTCACCACGTTCAGGAAGTGGTCGAGTACCAGGAGACAATACCTCCTCATATCCTAGGAAGGTAACCTTTGGAGCTTTCAAAACAGTCTTATTTGCGTTAACGAGTATGCCATAATCAGAAAACCGATTGAATAGTGTTTGTAGATGGGCTTCATGTTCAGTCTCATCCTTATAAAAAACTAAGACGTTATCTATATAAGGAAATCAGAAGTCTAAACCAAAAACTACTTCATCGATGAAACGCTGAAAAGTTTGTCCTGCGTTGCGGAGGCCAAAGGACATGAAGGGGAATACAAACAATCCGAAGGGGGTTGTAATGGCTGTCTTCGGGATGTCTTCAGGGTTGACAGTGATTTGTGTATAGGCCTTCACTAGTATCACAGAGAAATACTTGTAACCTCTGAGAGAATGGGTGAAATCGTGGAAATGTCTAACAGGATATCTGTCAGGAATCGTCCTAGCATTGAGAGCACGGTAGTCTCCACAGGGGCGCCATCCATCAGGTTTCTTAGGGACCATATGAAGGGGTGATGACCAAGGTCCATCAGATCGACGTGCAGTACCATCGGAGAGCATGGCATCAAACTCGGCTTTGGCTATAACAAGCCGATCAGGAGCGAGTCGACGTGGACGAGGTTAAACTGGGGGGGCCAGGGGTCGTTGTGATGAAATGCAAGGTTGGATGGAGCACTTTTCTTGGTGTACCAGAGGGTCGGGTAATCATGGGAAATTCTGACAGTATTGATGAAGTTGGAGAATTGGGTGTGATAGTTTTGATGCTGAAATGAGGGATTGAGGTACATTGACAAAGAACAGAAAGGTTCGTTACACTGTCAATTAACCGTTGATTACGACAGTCAGGAAGCAATCCAAAGTGTGCTAAGAAGTCAGAGCCTATAATCAATGTATTAACATTAGCAATGACAAAATTCCATGTAAAAGCTCGTCTCAGCCCTACGTTTAATGTTAATGTCATCATACAGTAGGTGGGAATGGCAGAGTTTTTTGCTGCACGAAGTTCATATTCAATACGCTTTTGGTTCTTACAAACGAATGATTTAGGGAAACAGCATATGTCAGATCCAGTGTCAATTAAAAATTTTGTATTAGTTGTACGGTCGACGATTTTTAGGCGGCGCCCTCCAGCTTGGCAGTCAGCTGACGCCATTACTGGCTGCCTTTGGAGTTTGTCGGAGAAGTGAAATTACATGGTGGAATGCACTTCTCAGCTTGATAGCCAAAACGCTTGTGGTACCAGCATAGATTGGTTTGCTCTGCAGTGTCAGAGGACCTACGTCTGCAGTGTGTGGTACCTACGTGATAACGATTACTAGACAAACTCCTCTGACGTGACCAAGGTTGCCTGTCACGTAAGGAATCGGCATCTTTACGCATATTATTCATTTGCAACTCCAAAGCAGATAATTTTTTGATAAAACTTCAGTTAATTTTGGGTCATCAGAAAATGAAGATTTAGGATTTGGTGAAGTAACGGCATTCAAAGATGTAGGCCTACTAGTGGGAGAATGACAAAAAGATGCGTTAGGTTGGACTTCTAGAATTTTGTCGGCAGTAATTGCCAGTGTGTCGGTTTGAGCACTTGTTTGCACTTGCAAAATACTTTTTACATGAGCAGGAAGTCATACAGATACATACAGATAGTTTTCAGTAAACTATCTTGGATTGTGGTCGAACCTACTAGTGATCGAAGGTGGCGTAGGAACTGAGAAGAAGTTTTGTCCCCTAGTTCCTCCTCCACCAATAGCTGACGAATGCGTCGCTCCTCGGATAGACAACCGTCTTATTATTTCAGACTTGAGAGTAGAGTAAGGAGTTTCAACAGGTGGATCTATATTATAAGATCCTCCACTTCATTAGCATAGCGCTCATCAAGATGTGAAATTACATACGAGTATTTAGTTGATTCACTCGTAATGTGAGCCAGTGTAAACTGAGCCTCAACTTGGGCAAACCAGAGCCTTGGTTTCTCTTTCCAGAATGGAGGAAGTTTTATGCTTACCCGGTGGATGTGATGATCTTTATGTCGTTCATCGGGATCGGCTGTGGGGTCTGGCTGATGCTGTGGTGGAACTGGTAGAAGATCAGGTAGGTTGGCTTCTTGAGGATGTCCAGAAATGTGATTTTGTTCTTGTCTTCCATTCAAATCTTGAAGTTGTCTTTGTAGGTTGGCATTCTCACTCTCTAAATGGGCTAGGCGCTCCAAAAGTTCTTGGTCCATGATGTAGAACGATAATTTGGAGAAAGGTGAAAAATAAATGAAATTTTGGTAGAAGGTTGAAATTTAGTGTAGGAAAAACATCAATTTAGTTTGAAATCATTTACTTGTTAGTCGGGGTCACCATTTCTAGCGGATAGACTCGATAAAACAAATCATTCTAGTAAAAGGTTATTTAATTTACAGATAATAGTTTTGTGTAATCCACTAGATTGAAATCAGAAAAACTGTTGTGATAAACAAACGATTAAAATAAATACAGACCATATGGTTATTGTCATTGACAGTTTAGTGGCACCACAGGATATTAAGAATTTTCCAAAACCCAAATAGTTAACCATACAGCCACAATTTTGTCTTTTTACAACTTTTTTTTATATATTAATGTGTTTTAAAGTAAATATATATTTAGTACATAAATTACAATAAGAAGATCTATTGTAGGAAAGATTTAATTTTTAAATGTTTATTTTCAAAATGGCGGCCATTTAAAATTTTACAAATTAATAACATAATAACTACTCAGGTAAACAACAGTTATTTTTTTACAAGTTTATTACAATTACTAACGATACCAAATAAAATAAATTCGGTTCATATAAAGGGGAAACCCCTCATTTAAGAAAACGTGTATCAAACAATAGCTGCGATACCGGAAATTTAGTAACATCTGCCTAAATTAGTTAGTTAAATTTAGTTAGCTATAAAAGTCAGCTACTTTAATTGTTGGTTACCCAATGAGCGAAAATATTTTTTCATACTTGGTGTCTTAAAATACCCCCGCCGCAGCCAACCTGCAGACTGCGAATTTTCATTCACCCCGCTGCATTTCTACTAAAATATTCCCTAAAAATGGTCAGATTTATTTCCTATTTAAATAACATTAATTTTAGTGAGAAATAACTTAGGTTTGCTGCTTTTGGGAAGATATTGAGGTGTGTTTTTTATTAAAGTGTTGCTTAGTATGAAATAAACATAATTGCCAAATTTGATTAAAATACAGTATATCCATAAACAAGCAAACTACAAAAGTTTATTTATTATCCATAAGAATAACATGGAAATTTTAAATTTACAATTTTTTAATATCTCCGTAACCGTTGGGCATACAACAACGCTTCAATGTTTTTAGCAGAGTGTACCCATTGTGCCCGTCTGATCTCTTTATAGAAGGAGCAGTTGTTTACAATGTTTTGATAGTCTATGTCAAACATCGTATAATGTGATGTGCTGTAACTACCCTGGAACAACATCCTAGACTCTGCCAGTTCGCCGATGCTGGCCAGCAACACTGACCGACTGGCCAGCAGAGTGTGCCATTGTGCCCGTCTGATCTTTCTATAGAAGTAGCAGTTGTTTGCAATGTTTTGATAGTCTATGTCTAGAAAAATCGTATAAGTTGATGTGTTGTACTTGCCCTCCTAGACTCTTCCAGTTTGCCGATGCTGGCCAGCAACACTGACCGACTGGCCAGCAGAGTGTGCCATTGTGCCCGTGTGATCTCTCTATATAAGGAGCAGTTGTTTACAATGTTTTGATAGTCTATGTCTAGAAAAATCGTATTAGTTGATGTGTTGTACCTACCCTCCTAGACTCTGCCAGTTTGCCGATGCTGGCCAGCAAGACTGACCGACTGGCCAGCAGAGTGTGCCATTGTGCCCGTCTGATCTCCCTATAGAAGGAACAGTTACTGACAATGTCCATCTTGAACAAATCCATCTCCAGGACTTCCAGGCTAGAGGTGGCCGTTGCTACATCCTTGGCTGTGGCAAACAGCTCGTATCCCAACAAAAGGCCTATCACAAAGCTACACAAATCCAGGACACAAATGTAGGATTCTCAATAAACTACAAATTTTGCATGGCTTTCATTAGATATAATCAAATCATTTAAACAATAGAATTTATTTTCAGAATCTTCTAGGCTTGTTGCAATTAAAAAATGGTTTTGTAGGAGTCAGCACCATTCTGTTGGTGGTTATATTAAAGAACAATTCTGAACTCGCCAAGCAGCAATTACAATTAATTATTTTATGAGTTTATTTAAGTCATTATTGTCTTAGTTTGATAAGGTAATTAATTAATGATAATCATAAAAATGTGTGTTCCTTATTTATAATATCTTTGAATTATTAATTCGAGCGTCAAAAGGCTATGAAATACAGTAAAATATCACTAGGTGACTTTTAAAACAAGCTAACTTTTCTCAAGGAACCACGCTGGGCGCGTCTCTGAAAATAAATCTGAGAACTTATTGACCTATGTAATGGTACAAGGTTTTACTTATTTTCTCTTTACTTACTTATTTTTTCCATTTTATCAATCATAACTAACTATTTTATTTACTGTACTACCTTATTTTTTTCTTGTATCGTAGTGTAACTGTCCCTAGTGCTGTTACAACTGCAGGCGTTTCTATAATACGTTATTTCCCGAAAGTGTTATACAGCAGCAGAATTAATTTAGGCAAATCAATTAAAAAAGATTACAATAAACAGGTTCTGAAATAAATAACCAAAATATTCAATATTTCTGTTGTTTAGATAAATAACATGCAGGTTGAAAAGTGTGTGGGTATATGGTGTCGATAAGGACGGGGAACTGAGTTTTCACCGTATATTAGTTAGGTTTCAATTAATACCAAGATTCAAATTTATATTTCTTAATTTTGCATTTAGTCCAGTCAAGGAATGAGGTGTAGAGTGCGTGAGCAGGTAACTAAGCGATTCCTTCAGAAACTTGTTCAGGGGGCTTAGGGTGTTAACATACCAAAAGTCCTGACTCCTAGGTGGTGAGCCAGGGGGTGGAGGGGGGAAAAAGGGGGGGGAGAAAGGTACGCATTTTGGGTTTTTTGATTATATCTCGAAAACTATCAACTTTTTGTATACTATAGTAAATTATAAAATTGAAGAAGATTAAATTTTCTACAAGAAAAGTATATAATGTGTTTATTTTGGTTCAACAGATTACGAGTTATAACTTATTTAATTGATATCTTATTAAAATACTCCTTCCATAAGAAATACATGTAAATTAGTATGCGAAATGGGGCGAATCCTATCCGCCCAAAGGAAATATAAATGATATTCTGGAAATCTTGACAAAATTTCCAGTAATTTGACACTTTAATCATTAAAATTGATCCAAAATTAAGGCGAGGGCGAGGTAACAAAATGTCGAGTTTTGGTGTTGTTTTATTGGAAATATAAAAAAAAACCTTAAATCATCCCATTTTTAAACGCTCACCCTCGCTTTAATTTTTGACAAAATTTCATTATTAAAGTGTCAAATTACTGGAAATTTTGTCAAGATTTCCAGAATATCATTTATATTTCCTTTGGGCGGATAGGATTCGCCCCATTTCGCATACTAATTTACATGTATTTCTTATGGAAGGAGTATTTTAATAAGATATCAATTAAATAAGTTATAACTCGTAATCTGTTGAACCAAAATAAACACATTATATACTTTTCTTGTAGAAAATTTAATCTTCTTCAATTTTATAATTTACTATAGTATACAAAAAGTTGATAGTTTTCGAGATATAATCAAAAAACCCAAAATGCGTACTTTCCCCCCCCCTTTTTCCCCCCTCCACCCCCTGGCTCACCACCTAGGAGTCAGGACTTTTGGTATGTTAATACCCTTAGCCCCCTGAACAAGTTTCTGAAGGAATTGCTTAGTTACCTGCTCACGCACTCTACACCTACTTTTGGATCATTCATTGACTGGACTAATTGGAGCTTTTCTTTTTACATGTATCTATTTCACTTTCTGTACTGATAATTTAAGAGTGCGTGGTCCCTTCACACCCAATAAAAGCAGTTTCCCCAGTTGGGGATCAGAATGAGGAAAGCAGGCTGGTACAGTCGCAGAGCATGGGTATCCGGTCCCCACTCTCGGATTCAATTGCTGCCAGTCACCAATGGATTTTTTTCTAAGTCTAAGAGATAATTCTTATCCCCCTAGGTCAGATTGAGGTAATTTGATAACGGTTCTAGGTCATAGCCTAACGTAGTAGAATGTGAGGTGGGACAACAAATTTGTGTATTCTTCTAAAAAAAGCATTCTCAATATGTGTAAAAATGCATTTCAATTAATCGGAATTTGCAATCTGAGTTGGTTCAGTCCCTTTAAAACGTCAGTAGGGGTATCCAAAGACACCGGGGAGAAGAAAATGCGCAATATTATTTTTTTGGGTAATTTTTTTGAACTTATTACCAGTATTCATATTTTTTTTAGTATTGATGAGTCAACCTAAAAGGTTTTTAGTTGAATTGATTCAAATAATACTTGTAACACTATTTTGGTTAGGTTTTCATAATTAACATTGCTTGTCACAACAATCTTATGACCTCATCTGAATCATGAAGGATACTCTTAATATCGTTGCTCTAGCGGGATACGATGAGATGATGACCTCACGACCACGGGAGAATTTCAAAATATTTTCATAATAACGGGAGGTGATGATGATGTCCTGTGACCAGGGGGGGTGTCGGGATGTTGCCGGATTCACATAGAGCGATGATGGTGTTTCGTGGTCGTGGGAGAATTGAGAGATATTCCCGTGATCACGGGAGATGACATCCATGATTCACGGACGTGGGAATAGGTGGTGTTCTCAATTGTGCCACGAGCACAGGATATGTTATGAATGTCGCCATGATAGCGGAAGTATATCTTTATAGGGTGGAACATAATTAAGGGTTTTTTGAGAGGAAAACTAGTTTAATTGGCAGCAAGTTCCTTTTTAGTTTAGAAGTTCCATTTCCTCTAGTCCCGTAGCGCCTCTTGTGGTCTTCTGTTTGACCGATATAGACTAGTCACTTAAAACATTTTAAAATGCAAAGTTCGCAAAAATTCCTAATTATGACTTTTTGGTATGTTGTTTGGATACATAAGAGTAATGTAAAACCAAGTTTGGAGCTTCAAAAGACCTGTGCTCGCTGCTCGGTGGTCGATAAAACTCAATTTCCTTGTACTATTTTAATCTTTTAAAAAAATCTCGAAAACCATATCATAGATGTCTTAGATGACTGGTCTATATATAACCATTTCTGATTTGGGTTAAGAGACCCTCATTTATTCTCTTTAATAAGCATGATCATTTCAAAATGGCGTGACTATATCATCGTCTCCTTAATTTTGAATTGCAAAAAAAGAATTTTTCTAATAAATAATTCGTATTGCCTATTAGCTTTTTTGTTCCTTTATGGGTAAATGTTATACATTTGGTTTTATTGTGGGAAGGAGGCAGACAGCTAAGTTTTATGGGGTTAAAAGGGGCAGCAGTGGGCACCTCTGGTCAAAGCGGCCTAGTGGATACCTACTTGTCAAAGGTAAGGTGGCTGATGTTCCTAACCTGGTCCTGTAGTCTATACAGGAGACATGTCCGCTCCCTCGGGAGTAACAGCTCGGAGACGTTCCAGAGGTATGGAGTCTCCAGGCCCTCCAGCCACTGGGCCTTCACAACCATTGGGAGGAAACTCTACACACACACATAACCTGCATTATGTTGTACCTAACATCTCATTACCATGTGAAATGACAGTTTTAGAACAAAGTGCACTGATGACAAGTACAACAGGTTTCCGTTGAATAAGCCAAATTTTTAACCAAGGCAAAACGAAAGAATTACTTACTGTAGCATATAGCATCTTTAATGCCACGTCAAATATCATAATACCAAAAACAAAACAAAAAGATGTTTTAATATTTTGGCAGCAAAACAAAGCTCTCAGAGTGGCTCATTCAACTATTTACTATTTGAGTAAGAAATTAAGGCTACAGCAGCTGGTCCATGTAGATAGGATGTCTAGTTTTATCATAAGCATCTAGACTGCCAGTGCAACTCCTAGGATCGTGGATCAGATCGAAAAACCCCCACCACCGCTCCGTGCCGATGGCGTGACGTCAACCATTACTGCAACGATACGGAGCAGAGTCATGAGCCTTAGTGGTGAGGTGGATAGCGTGCCGGGCTGATAATCTGAAGGTACCGGGTTCGTATCCCGCTGGTAGCTCTAACTTTTTGTCAACAATTTTTTTCATATCAGCAAGTTTGGTTGGTTTGGTTAGGTTATGACAGTTTAATTTTATAATTAAAAAATTATAAAATTTAATTTGAGACATTTATAATTTTATTTTTAGAACAGAGCTATTTTTTCGATTAGTAAACCTTTATTCGAGTTTATCATTATCAGCAAGTTTGGTTAGGTTATGACAGTTTAATTATATTTAATTTAAATTTAACCTACAAATTATACGTTTTGACAGCAACAGTGATGGATAAGCTATGCTAATGCGCCGGTATGATTCGGAAGCGTACGACATGGTGCGGTGATGCCACAGCGCCTCTGATCCACGATCCTCGGAGTTGCACTGGCAGTCTAGACGCTAGTTACTTTATCATTAACAAGTCAAAGGTTTTACTCAACGCTGTTATAAATAGAAAACGCCACAATACAGACTACTTGGTCGAGATGGGGATTGTTTTGAGGATTGGGGATGGATGGATCAGTCAATAATCGACACAGTAACTGTTATAAAATTTGTATTTTCATGTATATTTAAGTATGCTAGCACAAAATTATCAAAAACTAAATCTAATTGAAGATATTAAAGCTAACAGCTTAACCTTTACAAAAAATACTGTACGAATCTGACATTATAATATCCGTGTTGTTCTGGCTATCACACGACACTAATTTACTGATGTGGATTTTTTTACTTATTTAGAAAAAAAACTGCTTATAGATCACTATACAACTTGACATTAACCATGCAATATTTTCTTTTAAGAATCCATGGATATGTTATTCAATTTAAAATTTATTTTCTCATGGATACAAATAGATTGCAGCCTGTCTCAAATAGTCTACCTGACCTAAATATATTTCTAAACCAATTATACAAACTTCCAAAACACTTTATAGAACCCGTAAAACAGTGCACCTAGATAATTCGCCCCGAAATAATATTTACGTAAAACATACCATTAATAAAAAGAAGAAAAAGATGCTTTTGTATTTTGAGTTAGTGTTCTTCCATGCAAATTCGAATTACAACTAAAGCACTCAAAAACGTTGCCAAAGTCAAATCTTAGAAATCATAAACCAAGAGTTATAACTAACTCTTTAATTAACTCTTGGATATATTCTTGGATTCTTGTATATATTTTGTTTGGGATAGGCAATAGCAATGGTTGGCACAATACCACACGGTACTGAAAATTCAACATGGAATTCAGTCTGTCCCACAATGTTTATTGACACTATTTCTTAAATCTAAAGGGGATGAATCAGAGATGTTGTTTTTTGACTTGCAAAAAAAACTTTAGAAATACCAGCAATCTATATATATAAAACGCTAAGCCGATTTTTGTAAACAGAACTCCTCCCTCATTTTTGGACCGATTTTGATGATTAAAGTGTCAAATGAATGGCCCTGATATGTAGTTTTGCAAAGTCTTTTTCGTTTTTTGAAATCTTTATTAGTTTGGGCAGGATCCTCCACCAAAGTTGGATTTTCTCCCATAAGATTAACATGGGGGAATCTAAATATTTAATTGGAAACTTTGTCTCCATGAATTTGAGAGAACGACTGGGCGTAGAAACTTGGTAGAGGTGTCCAAAGAAAGGTCTTGGTCCCTAGATGAGTTACCAAAATAAAAACTAAGTGAATCCCGTTAGGGCTCTGCCCCAGAAGCCCTTAAAGATCCCTCCACAGATTTGTTTACATTTTGTCCATGTGGATAATACTTTTTAATGAAACAGCTGTTAATTTAAAATCTATATAATTAATACGCTACACGAAAGTTTGTCGGTTGAACTCCTCCGCCATTTCTTAACCGATTTTATCCATTGACGTCTCATTGGAAAGAGCGTGTCGCGTAGATTTGCAAACTGACCTTACATTTTTGAAAAAGTCCCTTGGGCTCTGCCCCAGTGGCTTTGAAAGTTCCCATGTTATCCTTATGAAGAACATAATTGTTTACATTTTGATCAGCTGTATAATTTTATTGCTGTTATTTACTTTTTAATTCAATGAAACACATTGAGTACATTTATTTACTATTTGAGTTTGTGTAAACATAACCCCCAAGACGGATCGTGTTAGTATGGTTGTATCTTAAATTTGTGTATTTATCGTTGTTTTGTGTCGCTATGATGGATTGTGTTAGCATGATTGTAACTTAAATTTGTGCATTTATCGTTGTTTTGTGTAGCTATAATTTGTTTATTATTTGTTGTTTATTCCTTATGTCTCTGACGCAACGACAACGAAACATAGACAGGAAGCGCAATCGTTATAACGACCGCAGCAGAACAGTGGCGCGTAAAAGGCTTAACTCATCACAGTCTGAACCTGGACCTGGACACTATTAGGTTACAAATGCGCCCTAACACTACCCCAAAACGACTTTTCGTTCTCAATTTGCCCTCTATTAATGACCTGTGTTGCCTGGACAGTGAGGCATTTTGAGAAGGAGAGAACCGTCCGGAATGCTTTAGGTTTATCAATAACGAAGATAAACAGGGTCTGAGTTACACAACGGTAATATTTGAGTTGATCTTTTAAACTCATTGTTAATATGACTGTTATTCCATCTGAAATAACTCCTGTAATACTTTGTTATTGCTCGAATTCGAGCAACATGTACACTAGTATACAATAAACCCCAAATCAATAAAATATTACGTAAACTCTCAAACAGTACACTACCCTTATAAACATGGTGCAGATAATGTCATCTCTAAGCATAGGATTCAATTCCCGCATTGTTGACGGAGTCAACATTATTATCCAAGAGGTATTGCCGATGGCTATTGTATTGGAGCTATCACGTTAGTTAAGAATCTTGTTCTATTTCTTTAATATTGTATTTAAATCAACTTAAATAATTTAGATACCTTTTCTACTAAATATTCTTCACTACAACATTATCTGCAGCCAAAATAGGTTAAAAAATCTTATTTCGTATCAAGATTTGTGTATTTTCAAAATAAACTTATCACACACTTTTTTAAAAAATTCTATATTTCGGCATTAGCCTTCTTCAGGAACAAACACAATAACAAATAGAAGTGTTTACCACTCTGAATCATATGGTTTTAGCAAAAATCCAAAATACATATAATTTATGAAGAAATAAAAAAGAAAATGTTTTGATAGAAAGAAAGAAAAAAAATTTATATATGTATATATATACTATCTCAAATTTAGACCAGAAGGTGTTTTAGATTTAAGTATTAATTGATGAGCTTGCTCAAGCTGTCTTAATTTCAAGTCTGGTGCGTCTTTTGCCAATTTTCTTATTCCTTTTAATGAATAACATTGTTCAAAATTTTGAGAATGCTCTCTCGCATGAATAGCCACAGGTTTTTGTTTATCAGGATGGTTTACATCATATCTGTGGCCATGCATACGAACTCTTAGAGCATTTGTGGTTTTGCCAATGTAGTCTTTAGGACAATTTTTGCATGAAATTTGGTAAATTACATTAGTAGACTCACAGGTGATGTTACTATTTATGTTATAACATCTTTTTGTTTGCCTGCTTGTGAAAGTTTTTGATGGGATGATTAATTTGCAAGTGGCACATCGTGGTTTGTTGCATTGATTACAGCCCGAAGGTTTTGCTGAGGGTTGGGAAGTGGGAGGTAGTTTGGGTTTTGAAAGAATGTCTTTTAAGTTAGGAGCTTTTTTGAATATTAGTCTTGGGGGTTTGGAAAACAAATTATGGGTCAGAGGTGAATTTGAAAGAATATTATGTGCCACTCTTAAAACATTATTAACTTTGTAAAGGCCAGGAAAGTATTGGGTGATGAATTTTGGATCTTTCTTGAAATTATCTGTGTTAGGATTTTTTGAGCTTCTTATTTGACTGTCTATTAAATTTTTAGGATAACCTCTTCTGTTAAGTGAATTGCTGAGTTTTTCAATATAATTTTGGTAATCACGATTTTCAGAACAAAGGTTTTTTGCTCGTATTGATAGGCTTTTTGGTATGGATTTTTTAATGTGTGCAGGATGACAGCTTGAGTAAGCTAAGTAATCCATTGTATTCGTATCTTTTACATGGATTTTGGATTTTAACATACCATCTCTGGTTTTTGTTAGAGATGGTATGTTAAAATCCAAAATCCATGTAAAAGATACGAATACAATGGATTACTTAGCTTACTCAAGCTGTCATCCTGCACACATTAAAAAATCCATACCAAAAAGCCTATCAATACGAGCAAAAAACCTTTGTTCTGAAAATCGTGATTACCAAAATTATATTGAAAAACTCAGCAATTCACTTAACAGAAGAGGTTATCCTAAAAATTTAATAGACAGTCAAATAAGAAGCTCAAAAAATCCTAACACAGATAATTTCAAGAAAGATCCAAAATTCATCACCCAATACTTTCCTGGCCTTTACAAAGTTAATAATGTTTTAAGAGTGGCACATAATATTCTTTCAAATTCACCTCTGACCCATAATTTGTTTTCCAAACCCCCAAGACTAATATTCAAAAAAGCTCCTAACTTAAAAGACATTCTTTCAAAACCCAAACTACCTCCCACTTCCCAACCCTCAGCAAAACCTTCGGGCTGTAATCAATGCAACAAACCACGATGTGCCACTTGCAAATTAATCATCCCATCAAAAACTTTCACAAGCAGGCAAACAAAAAGATGTTATAACATAAATAGTAACATCACCTGTGAGTCTACTAATGTAATTTACCAAATTTCATGCAAAAATTGTCCTAAAGACTACATTGGCAAAACCACAAATGCTCTAAGAGTTCGTATGAATGGCCACAGATATGATGTAAACCATCCTGATAAACAAAAACCTGTGGCTATTCATGCGAGAGAGCATTCTCAAAATTTTGAACAATGTTATTCATTAAAAGGAATAAGAAAATTGGCAAAAGACGCACCAGACTTGAAATTAAGACAGCTTGAGCAAGCTCATCAATTAATACTTAAATCTAAAACACCTTCCGGTCTAAATTTGAGATAGTATATATATACATATATATATATATATAAATTTTTTTTTCTTTCTTTCTATCAAAACATTTTCTTTTTTATTTCTTCATAAATTATATGTATTTTGGATTTTTGCTAAAACCATATGATTCAGAGTGATAAACACTTCTATTTGTTATTGTGTTTGTTCCTGAAGAAGGCTAATGCCGAAATATAAAAATTTTTTAAAAAGTGTGTGATAAGTTTATTTTGAAAATGATTAAGCCGTTTGGCAATATTATGAAGAAACAAGATTTGTGTATGATACTGTTGTAATAAACTGATTTTGCTAGTGGGATAAAAGAAAAGTAAGAACTGTTAAAGAACCATTTAATAGACTAATAGTTTGTTTACATAACAACTTAAACAAACTAACATTATAATAATCAGAATTACATTATACAGCTGTAACTGACTGAGTAAATCATTTTTTTTCTCAACACTTCCCCTAAAAAATGACACTTTACTCAGACAAGAAAACTGCTGCTCATGTATCCTTACATCTTGAAGTATTCTCTTGAGCCACACTGCTTCCCCTACAGCCAAACTTGCAGCAATCTGCAGCAATCAACTCAAATTCTGTAGTTGACAAAGCTACACATTTCTGACGTTTACTACACCAGAACACCGGACTGAGCACCTTTATTTCCTCATCCATCGCCTTGACCCAATGATGAGAATCCTTGCATGTCACCGCTTCCTTGCACTTAGTAGGTTCTGCAACACATGTCAAAAGGGCACAATCAGCAATTTTCACAGGAGGCTTCAATTTTGACCTGTCTCTGAAACTATACCTCTGTCCTTCTTCGTCAGCTAAACTTGCAGTTGTTGAAGAGTTGGTTTCAGTTGTAGGAAACTTTTTGTTTTGTTCCACAGGCTCCTTGAAGTCAACAAAGTATTGATTGCCACCAACTGATAACACAGGCATTGGGCCACAAACATCAGCATTTATGCGATCACCATGTTGATTAACAAGTATTTTGCGAGTACCAAAACTCAACCGATGCATTTTTCCAACAACACAAGCGTCACATATCTCAGACTTAGTACCTGAATTTGAGAATTCAATACCATTTTTCTTTAGGTATGTCAAAACATATCGCTTGTTTTGATGCCCTAATCTCTCATGCCACAGTTGTAAATCATCTCTCAAAGCAACTTGAGCTTCAGCATCTTTAATAGGAATAACTTTCATATTCATAATGAAAAATCCATTCTTTCTATGTGATTGAGCAACCAAAACACCTTTCTTGAAAAAATTACATTTGTCCTTGCTGAAAGTAGAAATTATACCTTTGTCCAACGTAGAGGAAATTGAAAATAAGTTCTTGCCTACTTCAGGAACATACCAAACATCTTCCAAATGATTTCTCTGGCATTTTCCTCCCACAATCATCTCTACAATTATGTTTCCCTTGCCGAGTGCTTCCATGGTTTGACCATTTCCAACTCCAACATGCTTAACTTTTGAAAATGCCTCATACGTCACAAACCATGATCTGTTCATTGTCATATGCTGCGTAGCTCCAGAATCTACAATCCAATTACATTCTTCGATGCATTCTTGTGAGCGATCACAATGTCCAACAAAAGCACTTCCAGGTTTTAGTGACTGACATTAGGACAATCCCTCTTCATGTGACCAAGCTGGTTACATGAAAAGCATTTAGGTCTCCATTTCTTTTTCTTATTTTCAGCCCCAACATCACTGACGGTAATTATGCTTGATGTTGATTCCACACGGTTAGAGTTAGGTTGTGAGAAAGTTTTATGTTTTGAACCAGTGTAAAATGCAGCATTAGACTCCTTTACACCTCCAACTTCTCGCTCCTTCATTCTCATTTCAACCGTACACAGTCTCTCTCTCTCAATAATGACAGTGTCCTCAGATCCTTCGGTACAGACTCCCAAGCGTTAATGAATTCACTATATTCACAGGGCAACGTATTCAACACCCTATTTAGGAATAATGAATCAGGAAGCTTAACTTTATCTTCTTTCCAAGTTTCGTCCTGTAGCTCAACCCAAAGTTTTTCCAGCTTTGCTATGTGTTTTACTACACTGTCAAGTGAGTCCTTTTCCTTAATTCCAAAGAATTCATTAAACAAGCGGTCTTGTCTCTGTTCAGTTCTCTGTTCAAAAATACTCAAAAGTTTCCCCCACATTTCCTGTGCAGTTGAACACATATTTATAAGCTGTCTTACTTGACTGCTAACAGACGAAACAATGATATTCTGTGCCAAAAATTCTTTCTTTTCAAGTACATCAACCTGTTTCTGATATTTGTCCATCTTTGAGGCATCTTCATCTTCACCTGGTTTCTCAGGGTATACAAGCTTTCCTTCAACAGCTTCCATTACACCATGAACTCGAAACTGTATGACTACTTGAAATTTCCAATCTATCCAATTGGATTGACCCTCCAGTTTATCAACTACATAAACTTTAGAAATTTCCATGGTAGACAAAATACTTGAAGACAACTGAACAAGATTTTTCAAGACAAATAACAATCAATCACAGTTTCTTTCACATACATCCTACTAACAAATCCAATAAATAAACACAGTTATTTGCGAGTCTGGGCCACCATAACCTGTTGTAATAAACTGATTTTGCTAGTGGGATAAAAGAAAAGTAAGAACTGTTAAAGAACCATTTAATAGACTAATAGTTTGTTTACATAACAACTTAAACCCAGAATTACATTATACAGCTGTAACTGACTGAGTAAATCATTTTTTATCTCAACAGATACTTTGTCATGTATACATTTAATTAGAACACATAGCAACATTTACATATCTTCTATTCCCTAAACTATTTGATAAAAAGAATTTGTAATCATGTTTTGTGGAATTCGGTGTAAAATTTCAGCACACTAACTTTTAAATACCGACTAAAATATGATATCCCAGATTTAAATATGATATAATTAATAAACTCATCAAGAAAACACTTGAATTCAACCTCAATCTAAAGGCCCGCCTTTGGTTTATGTGGTAATCCTTTTTGGTTAAAGTCTTTCAATATAGCCCAATTTATTAAAAAGAGTTAGGTAAGAATGTTTAGTTTCAGTCATTATGAGTTTAACTATGTTCTAATTCCACGCACATTGGTGCACATAATTTAGTAAAATAAATATTTGGGTAGAGGAGTTTTGGGATGGATTTGATTTCTCCAGTTCATTGAGCATGTTGTTGCTTTTTAAAGCAATCTCCAGTTTTAAGTACAGTCCAGTACCTACATAGTAAGGATATTGAAGTTGTTAGTTCCTTTATACTTATTTTGTTACAGAACCGAATTGCGAAGTTAACTAAAAAAATACCTTGGCGGATTACTGTAACTGAAACACGTTTATTTAACTACTTTTTTGCTCAACAAACTATACGTTTTTTTTTATTAAAATTTTTAAATCTCAAACAGTTAATTGAAACACTAGGGAGATGGGTTTTTAACAAAAAAGTATAGTTTAGGTAAAAAATACATACGGTATGCATCTGAATTAATAAAACTTAGTCGTTGGGGTTACTTGTTATAGCAATATAACTAACCTATCATACAACACAACATGAAAAAGCGTAGTCTATATTCACATTGTTATAAAACAAATACTATGACACTACAAGCCATTTATAATAATATTAGAAAAATTAAAGATGCTTACATACCGTATTGTTCACAAACCCATTAGGAAAATTTAAGTTATAATACTATGTATGATTTGGCTATGTAGAATATTAACAATACATTAATGAATTAAAACTCTAAAATCAGGCTGAACAATTAATACCAATCCCCCTTTTCACACTAGTCCTTAACAATCATCATCATCATCAACCTAGAGTTGTACAGTTTCTATTTCCGTTTCCTTCTCGGCCTGTATATATTTATCAAATGCCGGTGTTGTAGACACAAAAGGCCAATACTCTTCATACCAAGCTGCATACGCAGTTACTTGTTTTGTTACTCTTTGAAGTGGTTTTATTGGTTTCCTCGTAAAATGAAAATATTTGTGTTGCACGCCTAAACGCAAACTTTGTTCATCAATATTCTGTAAAAGTGTGCAAACTCAAGGGAATTAAAGATGGATTTAAAATTGAAAACTCCTAAATCGTAAGGATGGTGTTTTGTATCACTTTATTTCTTGAACTGTTTATGCCATTTTTGTTCTTTGTAAACATTCAATATAGGAATGATTTTGAAATGCATATTGGAATTGGCAATATATTGTTTTTTACTGGCTTAGGGGATATATCGTTACTATACATTTTCAACAATCTCAAAAACTAATTTTATTCATGTCAAGAGTTTTAGCAATTAATTTTTTCAAGAAAATTGCTTAAAAATTTAACTTAATACGCAAATATGTTTATTTATAATTCTATACATATATTTCTTCCACTTAAATACAATAAAACCTAACAGACCAACATGTATAATGGTAACAATAGTTACAACTTAATCGCAATCAAAGGTAGCTTACCAGTGAGACGTTCACTGTTCTAAAGACATCTCCTTTCTTGCTCAGGTCTTAAAATGAGCAAATCTTATCACTGACATCTCATCAATACATCTTAAATTAAACTAATTGTTTTGTGTTTTGATTAGGAACAGATCAAATGTTGCTGATATTTTTTTTTATAAAAGCTTTACCGATATAAATAAATTGTTCTTTATACTGTATGGGAAATTTGCCAACATACAGGGTGAGTTTTAATTGTCCCCCCCCCCCCGACTTTTTTCTACATTTTTTCAAATATAAATCCCAGGCCACTTCCAAACATTGTTGGGTAGTTAGTACTTAATTTTGATAGGGTGGTAATTTCCGGCCGCCATCTTGGATTCGCCATATTGGATCCAAAATATTTTTTTCAAATGTAAAGCTGGGGTTGTGACTCATTATTTTGAACTCAAATTTTACCCTGATTAAAATACCAAAACAGTTTTTAAAAATCTTGATCCATTCCAAAGTTATGAGGGTTTTTTAACTTTATTTTTAACCCATTTTAACATTGTGCATTTATAAACTAAGACAATAATATCAAAATATTGCTAGATAAAGATAAGTATACACTACCAGTCATTGTTGACCTATTTCCACTTGGTTATGACTGATGTATTTTTTTCTGCCGCCATCTTGGATCCGCCATTTTGAAATATGATATATTATTTTAATTACGAAGGAGGTGTTGTGACCCATCATTTCGAATTACTTTTTTAAGCTAAACTCAATGCCGCAACCCATTTTTTGTCAACAAAGTTTTCTTTAAGAAATATTGCAATTTGTTTGTTAAAAATGTCAATATTTCAGTAACGAAATGTGAAAATGAAAAAACGGACCGTGGAATTGAGTTCAGCTTAAAAAGGTGATTCGAAATGATAGGTCACAACACTCCCTTCATATTTAAAATAATTTATCACATTTCAAAATTGTGGATCCAAGATATTCCAAAAATTACATCCACCATAACCAAGTGAAAGTCGGTCGACAATGACTGGTGGTGTATACTGTACTTATCTTTATCTAGCACTATTTTGAGTTTATGGTCTTAGTTTGTAAATGCACAATGTTAAAATGGGCTAAAAATCTGTTATAAAAAACCCTCATAACTTTGAAATGGATCAAGATTTTCTTAAAATGTCTGTGGCATTGTAATCAGGGTAAAAATCTAGTTCAAAATAATGGGTCACAACGACTCACAACCCCACCTTTACATTTGAAAAAATATTTTGCATCCAATATGGCGAATCCAAGATGGAGCCGGAAATGACCACCTTGTCAAAATGAAGTACTTACTACCCAACAATGTTTAGAGAAGTTGTCTGGGATTGATATTTGAAAACATTTAGAAAAAAGTAGGGGGGACAATTAAAACTCACTCTGTATATTTATTTTCAACCCCTCTCCTGGAAATATGTTTATTAAATTAAATATCTGCAGATTCAAATTTAAGGTTGTTCTCATTTCAAAAAATCATTATTTTTAACATTTCACGATATTATTTGTTTTGTTTGCCATCAAAGTTAGAACTTACTTGTCAAATAAAATTTGGGAATAAATATACTACTTACTAGCTTATAAACAAACTCTATACGCGTTTCAGTAATATGTACTACCCGCCAGAGCACCATATTAGCCTAAATAGCTATTCATTAGAATCTCTATTTCCTACCTGCTAACACGAGAAGGTTGTTAGACTTTAAGCAACCATATTTTTACTTGACTTTTAAAATGTTCTTATCTAAAAACATCAGCTGTATAGATAGCTTCGTAATTGATTACAATATGCACATAAGTCTTTTCGTATTTTACCTTGTTTGCTTATATTTGAATGCTTATTCTAAGCAACCAAAAACTTCTTCAAATCTCTTCCTCTGTGGCAGCAAACCTAAGTACTCGTTAAACCTAAATCTGATTCACACAGGGAATACATCTGACATGTTTAAGAAAATATTTTAGCAAAATTCCCATCAGACTAATGGGAATTCGTTTAGTCTGCAGGTTTTCTTGAGATGGCAATATTTTATTGTGCATTTAATTTTACAGCCAATTGCTTTAATTGTTTTGGAGTAAAATTAAGTTTAGTTATTGTTAAGAATAAAAGTTTATACTGACATCCCAGCCACAAATACCTGGGTCGCTAGTGGCATGGTAGAAAATTAACGTGTCGCATCTGGCACTAAACCCTCTCTCCGCCAATATAGGTCTAGGATACCCGAGGCTTATCAGCACTGATAAGCCTAATCAAAATGCGCTAACTTGCTCCACCGCTGCCCATCGCCTCCCTCAACAATACGAGCGGGGGAACAAAACAAAATGTCACCCTTCTGGAAACATAGCTCGTTACAATTTATAAGTATATGTTCAATTTATTTTGAAATGAAGAGGTCACAAGAATAAAATAGCTCACTAATTAGGTTTGGAACGACAGTATCACAAGGTCATTTGATTGCTTCAGTATATTGCGTTTCACGTTCTTACAAATACTGTATTCACAAACTGAAGCAGACCAATGAAAGTATGTTATGGTCAAGTCCTCTTTTGATATTTTCATAAACAAGATTCAATTTAATTTAATTTGATTGAATTGGCAGTTTTAAAATGTCAAACCGAGCATAGGTAGAAACAGCAGCCAAATGCAAAAATAAAACCAATTATTTGATAGCAATCACCTTCCGGGTGCAAATTGGAAAAGCGAATAACTCAACTCGTTTACCGAATGGAATTAAAGTGGCTGCGCTCTCGCTCCCCGTCATCCTGTTATGAGTGGCTTATAAACTAGAGTTTCCTTCTTTGCATTTCCTGCTCTTGCTTTGAAGCAGATACAGTATTAGGTGTGTTTATAATTATACTATCTTTAATTGAATGAATGCCAAACCGACCTGGGCTGCATCCAGTAGCGAATTTATCATTTTAAAGGAATCCCAAAATCGTGAAACATTCGGAAAACTTATCTTTTAAACTGAAACACTTTCCAACATTAAACATATATATACAGTACATTGCTTGGTATGGTTGTGGACTATGTCAGTGGTTCACCTTATCGATGCCCTGTGTTCTCACAAATAAACTTTCAAAATTAACCTAACCTCACAAACTTAAGAGATTGTTTAAACGGAGATCGATTATGCAAAATATATAGGATCTACACAAATATGTCCCCCTTACATAATTTAGGTAGTGATTCCTCGGGTCATTATAAAGAGAAAATCATGACTAACATTTTTCCAAAATTAAATCGTTAACCAGATATCCACCATTTTGTATTTTTTTATCAACATGTTTATCTTTGAATTTTTTAACCGATCTTTATGAAACTTGATATGTATGTAGAAGATAAAAAATGCATCTTATTTTTTCCATCTTAGAAAAAAACTCATCTTGATTCAACTTAAAATTTCAAAATTGTGGCTATTATAATTTTTAACTTAAATTACTCAGAAATGGCTGATTTTATGAAAGATTTTCAAGGACACTTTTATTTAGCACTAGCTGTAACCCGCGGGCTTTGCCCCGTTTAACTTCTTAATTTTCAAGATTATCTCGTTCGCATGGCTCAATCACGTCCTGGTTGAAGTTTGTTCGCTACGCTCACTCACCTTTAGGTTGGAGCTCGTTCGCTACGCTCACTCACCTTTAGGTTTGAGCTCGTTCGCTGCGCTCACTTGCCTTCAGGTTAGCTCGTTCGCTACGCTAACTCGCCTCCAGGTTGAAGTTCGTTCGCTACGCTCACTCACCTTTTGGTTGCAAATTAGCTGTTGTCATAAATGTAAAAGAAATAATAGTGCTGCACCCTGTTGGTAATCCTTGTAACTTTAATGCTATTGAACATCATAGAACAGAACCAACTTGTTTAATTGAAACAGCTGTTAAGATTCAATAATTCCATTTCTCATAAGGTTAACATGGGAAACTCCAGAGCCACTGGGGCGGAGCCCGAAAGGATTTTTGAAATAAGAATATGCCTATATGTTAATCGGGAATGTGAGCTATCATCATGCCAAATTTCAGCCCAATCCGACCAGTATTTTTCGAGTTTACTTTTCCCATACACACATACACACATACAGCAACCACCTCTTTTTTATAATAGTATAGATTTTTAATTACCTATCAAAACAATACCAAGTTCAAAAATATCGAATAAGAAATAGTGAAATATTACGATTTTAGTGTAAAATTAGGGTAGAATAAGGTAGAAGCTAGTCAGGTTTGTCCCATTTTACAACTAAAAATCATAATGTTTAAGCTATTTCTAATTCGATCTTTTTGAACTTGGTAATGTTTGACAGGGAATTAAGAGTTCTAAATAAAAGTGTTCTTGACATTATTTCATAAAATCAGCCATTTTGGAGTTATTTAATCTTAATGAATTAAAATGGCTGCCATGTTGAAATTTTAAGTTTAATCAAGATTAATTTTTTTCTAACATGGGTCTCTTTTAACTTAATATACATACCAAGTTTCATAAATATCAGTTAAAAATTTCAAAGATAAAAATTTGTATGTAAAAAATACAAAATTGTGGATATCTGGTGAACGAAGAGATTTTTGAAAAAATGCTATTCTTGATTTTCTCTTTATTTTGACATAAGAAATCACAACGTAAATTATGTCCCCACTTTTTTGAGCACCCTTTTTTTGTTTGCTTCAATACAGCATTTGGATACATTTGGATTACTCATTTGCCAGTCCATTCTGCAATGTACTGTATACTATATAAAACCAACTATATAAAGGGAGCATGTTACCCATAACAATCAAGACTTTTTAGTTATGTCAAAGTTTAAATAAATTGTTTTCAAGATTAAATAAACGATTCAAGATTAAATAAAGATCTTTTTTGTTTTGATTTCAAAACATATGTTTAAGATTTATTCCACACTTTTTTGTAAATTTACTAACATTTATATTTGAGATATTATTGTGGTGTTTACTCAAAATTTTGTATGAAGTGGAATAGCCTCAACGGTTACTCGTAAGTGCTGTACTGTATCCTATATAACACCAGGGATAATGTTACCTATAATAATTAAGTCTTTTTAGTTACGTCTTAGAATGTTGAAATCAATGATTTTACCGTGCAATTTGCAAACTTGTGTATTTTTAAGTAAATTAGTTAAGCGTATGATAAGTAGTAGGATCATAGGAAATGGCTCAAATCAAAGGAATTGAAACTTTTTTGTTCTAATTTGAAGGTTATTGTTGTGTTGAAGGAATGTTTAACATGAAATAAACCTATTGACTAAATAATAAACGAGTCAAGTTATAGTTAGTAATCAGAAGTTGACTAGGCCCTTTTTTGATAGATCTAGAACATGTAAAGTCAATCGCACCTTTAGGAGGAATACCACCACATAAACTTACACTAGGCTAATAATAGTTTTTTTAGTTGAACAGACACAAATCTAGGGTTAAGTTTGGTCAATGTGATGCCTTTACTTAACACTTGGTAGACTTTTGTTAAAACTTTACAAAAGGAGCATACACTTAAAAATAATAACTATTTCTGGCTGTTAATTTAGCGGCTTTGACCAAGAACTAAGCTTATCTCAACACACCTTTATTTGCCTTTTCATATTCGACCTAGACAATATCCAATATTTCAATCAGCAAAGCCTTTTTATCATCACTAACCAAAGACCAAAGCTACCTTAGTAAACCAATATTTATTCACAAACATGTTTGCTGTCTTTAACAAAGTTAAACCTCTGGAGTCATTCAAATTATTTAATAAAAATAACATCAACAAAAACAAACAAACATACAAACAACAAACTGTTTTTTACACAAAAGATAGCATATGTTGTTCTGGAATATCTATCCTGACACATATATCGTTTGATTTTGAGTTTGTTTCGACACAGTATTACAATAATGTGTTTTACACTTGAGCTTTTTAGGGACTTACGTCCCTACAAGCCACTAGTTATCTATTAAATTACTATGCTTGGTTCATAGCTAACTGTGACCACCTTCATCTGCCTATATAATTGCATTGCAATATGATGGTAGAGGTAGAGTAAGCCTGAATAATAAGTTTAATAAGTTTAAGGTAACTATTTTCCCCGTTTCGAAAGGTTTATGTAGTTAGGAAACTGCTTTCGCCTAAATCCATTGAAAATAACCATATAAATATCGTGTTCTTTATAAGCCTATGAATGGACGCATTTAATGCTTTGATTGTTACATCATATAAACAACCAACCAACCGTAGATTATGGTCAGATATTAAAAGAAGAACTTTCTTCTTTAGGTGTATTGTATAAGTTCATAGAGAGTTTACATTTTACATGAAATCGATAGATTTCTGGGTATAATATTTTCAAAATAAAATCTTGTATTACTTTTCTTAAATTGATCAAGTAAGATATTCAAATATTATTAGGTAACTTAAATTCATCAAACATATTTGTTGTAGGCTATTCATATCTTAATGCTAATTGTAATATTATTATTGTTTGGTTGATACAGGAAGTGTAGTAGTGTGTGGAGTGGAGTAGATTGCCAGTGATGCTGGTTGAGTGATGAGATGAGTTTAACCGCTGGTATGTCGCCAGGTGCTGCGTTGATGCCAAGCAAGGCACCTTTGACTCTGACACTGACAGCGACTGGCATAGCATGAGCTCGCCACCGGACGTTGACTGCCGCAAGTTCAGTGTCATCTCCTCAGAGGATTGGTCACAAGAATGGCGCAAGTTCAAGAAAAGCTTGTAAGTATTCATTTATTATTTACCTAAATTAAATTAATAGAACATGGATAAAAACTCTACACCATTTTATGAACATCTATCCACACGAATATCGTGATTTAAATTTTAGCCAGAAAATTATATTGTACTGAACAAACTTAAAATGTTAGCGTAGACTGCTAGACATTTTCAAAAGTTAAACTTTCAATTTCTATATACCCTCCAAGCAGCAAATCTGCATAGTGTTTTGATTTCAATTTGCTTAATTTAATTTGCATTTAAATCTATTTCAATATCATTAGGTTTAACGAGTACCTAGGTTTGCTGCTACGTGGAGGGTAATAAAGTGTGTTTTTAGTAAAATATTAATAGTAGTTAGTATTAATAGTAGTTAGTAGTAGTTTTTAGTACTGTACAAACTGAATCAGTTTTGTAGACACATTTTATCAATTTTACCAACAAAAGTATTTCCACTTTTAGTCTAATTGTCCCAAAATCCTACAATAATAACGGTACCAATCCATTTGGCTGAGAATAAATTTTCTTTACTTTCAATTTTATTTTTATTTCATGAATTTAAAAAAATCTATTCAAAAATGTAAATGTGAATTTTATATAAAACTAGCTGGCCCGACAGACGTCGTCCTGTCCTTATGTGGTGTTATGTCAAATGCTTGTTCATTTTCAAGATCCTGGTTGAAGTTCGTTCGCTACGCTCACTCACCTTTCGGTTGGAGCTCGTTCACTGCGCTCACTTGCCTTCAGGTTAGCTCGTTCGCTACGCTAACTCGCCTCCAGGTTGAAGTTCGTTCGCTACGCTCACTCACCTTTTGGTTGCAAATTACCTGTTGTCATAAACTACAAAAAAAATAATCGTGCTGCACCCTGTTGGTTAACTTATTAACTTTTTAATGCTATTGAACATCATCGAATCAAATTGCTTAGTTGAACGAGCTGTTAAGATTCTTTAATTGTATTTAAATATGAGTACTCATAAGGTTGACATGGGAAACTCCAGAGCCACTGGGGCGGAGCCCTTTTGACGGATTTGCACCAAACTTCACTCAAACCATCATTGAATAATGCTTAATAATGCCTGAAAGTTTCATTACAATCTGTCGAGCGGTTTCGGAGTCCATAAAGGACAAACAAACATACACACAAACAAACATACATTTGATTATACAGTATATATATAGAAGACTAGCTGGCCCGACAGACGTCGTCCTGTCCTAATGTGGTTTTATGTCAAATGCTCGTTCATTTTCAAGATGAACTCTTTCGCATGGCTCAATCACGTCCTGGTTGATGTTCGTTCGCTACGCTCACTCACCTTTAGGTTGGAGCTTGTTCTCTGCGCTCACTTGCCTTCAGGTTAGCTCGTTCGCTACGCTAACTCACCTCCACGTTGAAGTTCGTTCGCTACGCTCACTCACCTTTTGGTTGCAAATTAGCTGTTGTCATAAATTCAATAAAATAACAGTGCTGCAACCTGTTGGTAAACCTATTACATTTTTTAATGCTATTCAACATCACAGAATCAAATTGTTTAGTTGAACCAGCTGTTAAGATTCTTTAATTCTACAGTACCTGTATTTAAATATGAGAACTCATAAGGTTAACATGGGAAACTCCAGAGCCACTGGGGCGGAGTCCTCTTTGACGGATCTGCACCAAACTTCACACAAACCATCCTTGAATAACGCTTATTAATACCTGAAAGTTTCATTACAATCTGTCGAGCGGTTTCGGCGTCCATAAAGGACAAACAAACATACACACAAACAAACATACATTGGATTTTATTTTATACTAGCTGTGTGCCCGTTCTACGCACGGGGATCTTATAGTAGTCAGTTGAAACCTTCTTATATTAAGATTAAGAACAGCAATTAGTTTGCATATTTGCAGATATGCTGGCAAAACTATTATATATAAACCTTCCCAAATACAGTATCTGACAGTTCAAGCCAAAATAAATGCTTCGCAATTAAATGTCACCCGGATCATGTTGGTCCATATGTCCAATGATTAAACTTAAAAATGTTTTATAGATCCATGAAGCGTAGCCCTAAAGTAGGCCTATAATTGAAAGTTACTTTCCACATCGGTTAACTTAAACGTATTTAAAGTACTACCTCAACCTCACCATTTAACACTTTATTCCGGTTGACATTTTCAGTATCAAAGGTGCTCTTGTCCATTCCGTGAAACACTGAGAAATAAGGACATTAATGCGTTACCAACATACAACAAAACAACACAATACAACAATCCAACAAAGGCCACGAACTATTGATGCATAAACAATATAAAGGCGTAAACAATTATGGTTTGCCCAACAAATGTTTTACTCAAATAGGTTATCATTTTCTTAGCATACCGGGTAAGCTAAGATTTGGAATCCAGGCAGAAAAAGCAAAACTTATACAGAGTTAAGACATCACTTAAATTGAATACGGACGGCTCTAATAAATAAGGTGCAACACCAACGATATCTAATTTGTAAACTACCGGTTCTAAGGAAAAGAACCAGTACCTATGTAAGAACCTACCTAAGAATTACAGTAAATCGGACCAATTAAATACATTAATATCTAGTCCCGAGGTTATTGATCTCTTGCTTTTGGATTTTCTCGTAAAAAGTTATAGGGAAACTTATCGGTGTCAGTTTGAAAAAGAAGCAACCTTACCCAAACAACTTTTTGTTATTTAATAGATTACGCATTCTCTAAACAATGATTAGTATATCTATTAACATTAGAAGGAAATGTGACGAAAATCACACAATGTTGGGGGTTTGGTCATTTGTAATTTTATTTTTTAAGTAGGTAGGCCATGTATTCTATGGAAAAGTACCGGTATCAAGGATCGTCGTCAAAAAGGTTGTTATGAATAAATATGTAGGCTTACGTACCCAAGATATGAGCTATGGGCCTATTGGCTGTATGGTCCAGCGATTGCATCACACGGTGAGTAGAAACAGAAAGTGACACATTGGAAAAGCGAGTTTAGCACTTCCTCTGTTAAACCTCTGTTACAATCACCCACTGCAGTTGTGATTTTTTACTTTACACTTTACACAATCGCCATTGAAGCGCCGTCAATGAGTGGAAACCTTTTTTGTAAGCTATTGGCGACGATCATTTCAGTGTCACAGCCCTATACAACACTGATTCAAGGTATTCTTCTTTCTGGTTGTCAAAACTCAAGAAACATTTTATACTCAAAGAATTTCTGGTTCCGATTTGGACGATGTCTAGTTATTTAATTTCATTTGCGGTTACACTATTAGACTATATTATTGCACTTGCGATTAATTAAATCCGTTATGTAAGAAAAACGTTTTTAATCTCACTTGGTTGGGATTTGCTTTCAAAACGTGATTCGAAATAGTTGCGGTATTTGTAAACAACATTTGTAAACATGTCATTGACAGCTAGAAAAAATAATCTTGATCCGAACAGCTGTTCGTTATTTCATAGACGATTATGTGATAAAAATTGAACGAAAATTTGACAAAAATCGCACAAAACTGCATTTTTGAACGTCCGTAATTTTATTTACAAAGTAGTGAGGCTATATTTAAATCACTAAAGACACTCTCGCCAATCCAGTGAATACATTAAAATGACTTGGATCTTGATATGTACTCTGGTTTTCACGGAGAAGATTGCGTAAAATGCCATCTTGAGTGTTACAGACAAAGGGACAGACAGACAGACAGACAGACAGACAGAAATTGAGATAAGACTCGTTTCTGCTTCTTTAATGTATAAAACGTAAAAATAACCTAAAAGTATATAATTCTGAGCAATGTACAGACAAAACTCTAATTTTATTTATATAGATAGATAGATTACGTTAGCTGTATAAATATAAGAATAAGTCATGTTAAATCTTTTGATCTTTGATACAATAATTACTTTAAGGTTAATAATGTGAATTTTATACAATTAGTCGAGTAAATCCGTACGAGAACCCTAAAAAAATTGCTTTAAATTGTTTTATTGGTTATTTTGGCTTAAAATTATGTGTATTTTCCAGGAAAAAAGTCTAATAAAATCGGAGTCTCGGAAGTCCAAAATTCAAGATGGCGTCCAAGATGTTGGTCAAATGTGTCCGTTAGCACAATAACTCAAGCAAAAATTATCCGAATTCGATGAAATTTGGTACAAACATGTAAACCTACATTTATTTGAACGACTTCGCGAACCAGCATGATCGGACCATGGGAACGGGGGATTATGGGGGGTTTTACGGGGTAAAAATGGGTTTTCCCCATTTTTGACCCTAAAAACGTAAAATTTTGCAATTTATTTCGAAACCATTTTAGGGCTCAGAAAAAAATTAGTACATTGAAGCGTTGTCATGGGTCTAATACATAGTTACGGAGAAAATAAAAAAAAATTTCAAACTCCTATGTTTTTCTTACGGAGAATAAGAAAACTTGTTGTAGTTAGCCTGTATATGAATATATTTTTATCAAATTTGGAAAATGCATTTGTTTTATACTAAACTATTTAACATTTTACTAAAAACACTTTTTTACCCTCTCTGTCGCAGCAAACTGAAGTACTAGTTAAACTAGTGCTATTTAAATAGGGAATAAATGTGATATTTTTAATGTGATATTTTAGTGTAAATTCAATCAGGCAAATTGAAATTCGCTTAGGGTGCAGGTTTGCTGCGGTGGGTGTGTTTTAATTTATGACTATTTTTTTCTTGAAAAATCCAATAAAAGGTCTTAAAATAAAGATCACAAGCTAGCTAAAATTCAACATACATATGTTATTTACTTAAATAAATATCTATACATTTTTAGCCCGAAAGGATTTTTTAGATAAGAATAGGCTTGTATTAATCGGGAATCTGAGCTATCATAAAGCCACATTTCAGCCCAATCCGACCGGTAGTTAATGCGTGATTGAACTTCAAACAAACAAACTGTCACATTTATAATATTAGTAATAGTATAATATAGTCACACTTTCTTGTGGTTAGTAGTAGAGCATTATACA